TAATAATGCATAATAATAATAATAAAAAGAATAATAATAATAATAATAAAAATAATAATAATAAAAATAATAATAGTAATAATAATATTAATAACAAATAATAAAACATATTATTAAAATATTTTTTTTTTAAATTATATTTTTATTTTAAAATTTTTTCAAATATCACTTTTATTTTTTTTTTTTTCTTAAATATTTATTTTAATTATATATAAAATCAAATAGATAAACTTAAGATCAATACTAATTAATTAATTAAATTTAATTTAGATATAAATAATAATACTAAAAAAAGAATTTTTTTTTTATAATTAAAATAATACAACAAATAAATTATTAAATAATAGTTATTTTGTTTTTTTTTAAAAAAAAGAAAGAAAAAAAAAAAAAGAAAAATAAAGAGATGCAAAAAATTGTTAGTTTTTTAAAAAAGAAAAAAGGAGATACAACAAATTGGTCAAATTTTGATAGAGAGGATTCAGAAAATGATAGAATAAAAGTTATACCAAAAAAAGGATCAACTTTAGAAACTCAATATAATAGTACAAATTATCATCAAATACAAGGAAATGGTTCAAATAATAATAGTTATAATAATAAAAGCATTGGAGGTAGTGGTGGTAGTTCAGTCGCAAATCAAAATCAAAATCAGAATAAAAATAATGGAGAGGGCAGTCGTGGAATGGTGCATAGTCCAAGTAATAGTTCTATTAGCAGTTCAGGCAGTACAACAAGTAATTCGACAAATAATAAAGTTAAAAATAATAGCAGTCATAAAAAGAATAAAAATCAAACCCAATCACCAAATCAAAATGATGGAGCCGATTCAGATGATTTTATTCCAGGAGAAGTTAGATCAATTTCGAAGATTTTAGATTTCAGTAAATCTGAAAGAAAATGGTTGTCATCATTAAATATTCCTCAGGAGTTATTGGATCAAAATATTCATGTACTATTAAACGTTTTAAACTTTCTTTCAAGAAAAGAAGGTATTTTATATATTCAAGCTCAAAATAATCGTAATAAATATTTTTCATCAAATCATATTAATAATAGTAACTATAATGGTAGTAGTTATAGTTCAAATGTAAATAGTAGATCAGATAGTATAATCTCAAATAATAGTAGTAGTATAACACCATCAACAAGTTCATCAAATTTATATCAAAATCAACAACAACAACAAATTCATCAACAACAAATCCAACAACAGCAAATTCAACAACAACAACAACAACAACAACAACAAACTTTAAATACAATTAATGAAGATAATCAAAACTGTACATATAATCAACAACCAACATCAAATCAATCAACACCAATTTTAACAATCCAACCATCTCAACAATTAGTTAATAATCCACACAATAGTAGTAAATCAAATTTAAATAACTTATTAAACAGTAGCAGTGGCGGTACAATTAGTGTAGTTCAAGACGGTGCAATACCACCCCAGCCAATGAGAAGAAGTGATTATAACCGTATTTTTATAGAGCCAGGAAAATATTATGCTTTTCCAGAAGCCGAAAGCTATGCACTAGCAAGAGTAGTCATTGAAGAAGAAGATCCTTCAAAACTATTTAGAACTGGTGAAAATCCTGAAATTAAAGGTGCCTTTGGTACTGTGTATCAAGTTTTCTATGTAAATGGTCAGTATAATAATATAGATGTGGCTTTAAAAAAAATGGATCATAAATCGGAAAAAAGGAGAAGAAATAATTTAAATGAGATTTCAATTCTAAAATATTTAAAGCATCCAAACATTGCAACATATATAAATAGTTATGAAAAAAATGATGAAGAAATTTGGGTAAGTAGTTAATATTATTTTATTATTAATTATTTAACATTAATATTAATTTTTTATTTATTGTTATTACTTAGATGGTTATGGAGTATATGGATGGAGGAACAATTAAAGAAGCTGTATCCAACTTTTCATTTAACGAAAAATATGTAGCTTATATAACAAAAGAAATTTTACATTCACTAGAATATTTACATTCGATCAATATTGCACATAGAGATTTAAAAAGTTCAAACATTATGATTAATAGTAAAGCTGAAGTTAAATTAAGTATGTACAAAAACTTTATGATATATAGTATTCTATAAAATAATTATTAACTTTTCATTTACAACAACTATAGTCGATTTTGGGTTTGCAATTGATTTAACACACTTAAAACAAGATATTATGATGTGTGGTTCACCCTATTATATGTCACCAGAACAAATTCAAGATAAACCTCATGGATTAGCAGTTGATATTTGGAGTTTAGGTATTGTAGTAGCAGAAATGGTTAGAGGTTTCGTACCACATCGTAAATCAAAAATTAAAGCAATGTTTTTAGCAGGCACTGTTGGTATTAAGTTTTCCAAAGAAAAGAGATCTGCTTGTCATTGGTCTACCGAGTTATTTGACTTTTTAGATTGTTGCCTACAAATAGATCCATCCAAAAGATTAACCCCAACTCAATTACTTCAGCATCCTTTTATTGCCACTGCTGCAACAAAACAAGAAACTTTGGATTTATTACCACTCTTATTTATGTCAAAAACTTTATCAAAATTATCTAGAAATAACTATTAATAATAATAATATACATTAAAAAATTTTATATAATACCCTAATCCTAATAAAAAATATAACAACTAGTAAATAAAATCTAGAAATGAAGAAATAAGTTTCAAATTTAAAAATAAAAATTTAAAAAATATAGAATTACTTTTATAGTTTTTTTATAATTTTTTATAAAAATAGAATTAATATTTTATTACTGTTAATAATTTTAATAGATACTTCTTTTGTTTTTTTTTTTTATTTTTTTTTTATTAATTTTTTTAATTTTTAGTTTTTTTAATCTTTTTTTTTTTATTTTTTATTTTTTAATTTTTTTTTTAATTCATTTATTTAATTATTAAATTTTAAAGAGATAAAATGGATAATATTGGTGTACTCTCATTTATAAAAAATCATAGTTTTCAATTTACAAATAGTATTTTTTATGGATTATCTATCAGAACTAGAGTATCAAAAACAGATGAAAGCTCTTTTAATGTAGTAAAGAGAATGGTTTTAAATCCAGAGCAATCACAGAGATTTTTAATTGATCTTATCCAACATTATCTAGGTTCTTCAGCAATTAGTATTTGTATTTCGCCAGCTTTAGATTTAATTGAAAATAATACTCAATATATAATTTTTTCAAACATCAAATATTTGCTCGAAAACTTTTTTTTAAATTTATTTGCTTTAAAGTCAGAAAAAACATCTCCATTCTCAATTATAGAGTTAATTAAACAAAGACCAAAACAAATTTTAAGCAGCTTAGTTTATATACAATGTATTAACTATCTCGAAACCTATACTTATGACCTCTATTTTAACAAAGTTTCAAATTATTATATGAAATATTTTAAAGATTATACAAGAAGCCCACAACAAGAAAAAATATTACAAATAATCATTTTTATAATTTCAAATACAATAGCAGCTAGTACAATTCATGCAATTATTTCCTCTCCATTTAAAAATATTGTATCTAGTTATTATAGAAAATTAATTGACTCTTTTGAATCACCCAATGAAAAAGATAGTTTCTCCTTTGTTCAATTAAATCCCGTCAGTGCTGCTTTCCAACAAATTAAGAAAAAAGGTTTTATTGGAGCTTTTTATACAGGAGCACCATTAACATTTTCAGCTACTGCTTTTAGTATCTTATTTTGTCCAAACGAAATAATTGATCAAATGTAAATTTTTTTTTTTAACCATTATAATAAACTAAAAAAAGAATTATTCATTTTATTATAAATATCTTTTTAAAAAAACGTGTTTAAATTACATACATAATCATTAATCATTGTAATAATTTTTTTTTAGAAATAATATTGAAAAAAAATATCTTTTTTATTTTAATCATTATTTTAAAAAAAAAAATATTTCAATTTTGAAAAAATATTTTTTTATTTTGATCATTATTTTATTTACAAATAAATAACAATGTCATTATTAAAATATGGTACAATTTTTACAGGAGTAGGTATTCAAAGTATTCAAGTTAAAGTCCAAACATCCAATGAAAATACACTTGGTATTATTCAAAAAATAATAAAAAATGAAAACTATAGAAATAATTTCTTTATTGGTATTATATCTTCATTTGGATCACTCATTGCAACTACCAATGTAAGAAATTTGGTTTTTAAATCCATTGACTTTTTTGTTAAAGATAATGAACCTTTGTTGCAACAAAGGAGTTTAATGATTCATTTTTTGATTTCATTTCTAAATTATTTTTTATTGAAAATGCTTCAGTGTTTTCAATTTTAGAAGATATAAAATCAAGACCAATCGAGTTTTTAATCTGTGTTTTATATTCATCAGGGGTTCGTTTAATTCAAATTAAAACAAATACTTTAATTCAAAATGCAATATTAGGATACTATATGGAAAACTATAAATATATTAAACAATTCTCCACTACCAAAAAATATATTATCAAAGCACTTTATTATATTCTTTCAAAGCCATTGGTCTCATGTCTACTTATAGCTTTTTTAAATGTACCATTTAAAAACATTTCAGCTCAATACTGTAAAAAATTCTTAGAGTCATCTAAAAATGAAATTACCCTAATTAAATCAAATCCTATCTCCATAACTATTCAACTTTTAAAAGAAAAAGGATTTATTGGTGCTTTTTATACCGGTATGGTTCATAATTATTTATTTAATCTTTCAGGTTTATTAAATAAATTCACAAAATAAAAAAATAAATAAATTTAAAATTTTTTTTTTTCCCACATCATTTAAATGTTTACACTAATTTCTTGAAACTGTTAACAAAACAAAACAAACAGTGCCACAATGATCGGACTTTTCTGTTGTTTAATCCCCCTATGTATTGAAAATATTATTTACCAAAGTAAAATAATTAAAAAAAAATAAAATTTAAAAAAAAATAAAATAAAATTTTTTTTTAAATTAAAAATTATTTTTTATTTTTTTTTATTTTTAATTTCAACAAACAAATAAATAAATAACATTACATTTTTTATTTTATATTTATATTTTATTTCATCTATATTTATTAATAGGTTATAAACTATTTTAAATAAATTTTAAAAAAAAACATGTTTCGGGGAATGTATAAATCAACATTGCCACCAGTGGATCCAAATTCATTAAGTGCTCATCCAAATTTAGCAGATCAATTATCAGATAAAGACTACTATAGTGTAGAATGGAATCAATATTTCGATAAATGTAGAGATATTAAATTACCAAATACTGAAAATACCTTTAGAATTTATGAATGTAATGACCATGTAGATGATGGAAACTTATTTGTATTTTTACATGGAGGTGGCTACACCTCTTTATCTTGGAGTTTAGTTGTTGTAGGTTTATAAATGTGTATAGTATATGGGATTTAAATATTCTAATATTGTTTCTTTTTTTAAAAAAGGATAAAATTAGAAAGCAGTTTGATAATGTTAGATTAATGTGCTATGATTGCAGAGGACATGGGGAAACTAAAACAAGCAACGATTTAGATTTATCAATAGGAACACTAGTGGATGATTGTTCATCATTAATAAACCACTACCAAGAGGAAATTGCATTAAAATCAAACGATCCAGAAAAGAACTTAAAGGTTATTATTGTAGGTCATTCAATGGGTGGCGCTGTAGCAATTAAAACATCTTCATCAGAAAAGGTTAAAAATTTAATGGGATTGGTAGTTATCGATGTAGTTGAAGGCACCGCTTTACAAGCTTTATCATCAATGAGATCAATTTTAGCAAAAAGACCAAAGCATTTCGAATCTGTTAAAGATGCTATTAAATGGTCTATTTCAACAGGCACAATAAAAAATATTGAATCTGCAAGAGTTAGCGTACCCTCTCAAATTAAACTAAGCAAAGAAGATAACAAATATCATTGGATTGCACAATTAGAAAAAACTGATATATATTGGAATGGTAATTGAAAAAAAAAAAAATTAATATTGTTATTTTACTAACTGTTGTCTTTTTCATAACTACCTATAGATTGGTTTTTAGGTTTATCTAAAGAATTTTTATCTAACAAAGTGATCAAACTATTGATTTTAGCTGGCACAGATAGATTAGACAGAGAATTAACAATTGCCCAAATGCAAGGAAAGTTTCAATTGATACTATTACCATTATGTGGCCATGTTATTCAAGAAGATGTAATATTTAATACTTTTTTTTTTTTATAAATATTTTTTATTAATATTTTATAAATAATTTTAACTATATAGGATCCCAAGTCAACATCCGATACTTTAATAGAATTTATTAAAAGACTAAGATAATAAAAAATAAAATAAAATAAAATAAAATAAAATAAAATAAAATAAATATGTATTTTAATTATGTTAAAAATTAAAGATTTTAAATTTTCTATTAAAGATTAAAAGAAAAAGGATTTTTTTAAAGTTATTGTACAATTCAAAGATAAAAAAGATACTTTACAAAATATATAAAAGTGATGTTTTTTAAAAAAAAAGAATCGTAAATATATAATTATAAAGAATTTTTTTTTTAATATTTTTTTTTATCATTCATGGGCAAGAAAACTGATGGTTTCTTCTATTTTATGATTGGAAATTTACCACCAGGAGAAAAGGTCACCATTTGACTCACCATTGCTTCTGAAATTGGTTGCCATTTAAATAACTTACTACTGCTTACATCGCTTAATGTTCCCATTAAACAAATTTAAATTCAATTACAATTTAAATTTTTCTTTATCATTTCCAATAGATATTGTAATCGACAGTTATAAACCATCTATTATATACTCTGAATGTAAAAAGCCAATGTTCAATTCCCTTCAAAAGGTGTCCCAATGAATGTCGTTGTAATTATCGAGCCAGAAACTCCGGATAAGCCCCAATCATTAGAAGAGAACGATCAAAAAGAAAAAACCTGTGCTTTAGCATTAAACTTTTACCTAGTTTTTATAATGCTTGTTTAGAAGATATAAGTCAAAAATAGCCTATATCGATAATAATGGAGCACATTATGGAGGTACCGTATTACAGTGCCCGGAATAAATATTAGAGTTTGAAAATTATCATGATCTCCATTTTTAACGATTATCATTTTCGTCTTCATTATCCTTTTTTTCTATTTTTTTTTTAAAAGTTTTATTTTATTTTTTTTATTTTTTTTAAAATTATTATTAGGATCCTTATAATTATAATTTATTATACGCGGTTTTTTTTTTATCAAATGCGAAACAATTATATCTGTAAAAGAAATAAATTATATCATAATTTAATTAAATTATTTTTTAAATAAAAAAAAATAAAAAAAATACAAGTTTCCAACCAATGGCAAGAATACACTGGAAGCAATAAAAGAAATCATAGTATCATTAATATTAATAGGTAGAAGGTCATTATTATTTAATTAATGATAATATTTTTTTTATTTTTTTAATCATGGATGGTTACGATGTCAGCAATTATGTTTACACAATGTTACAAAGATACCAAATCAGTGAAGAACAAAGTAAAGATCAAATTCACTTTTTTCAATCAAAAGATCCATCATATGATCATACTCATCATCAACCAGGCAGAAAATTGCTCAACCAGTCTGAGCATACTGAATCATTCAGAGTATTTTTTGATCTTACACATATTTGCAAAAACCTCAGAAATAATTTAATTGCTCATACCCCTATTCAAATATCATCTAATTCAAAAGAATTTTTAGATATGAAGCTAATATTAAAGTTATTTCAAGAACGTGATATTTCAATTTTAATTCCAAATGATTTCCATCCTAGTGACAAGATGGCCCTTGATCCAGTAAAAAGATTATTTAGTGAAAAAACAACCGATACGCTTTCGTCCATCATTTGTGATTTTGAAACTAGTATTAGAGATAATTCAATCGATCCAAATCAAAGTAACCAACTTAAAGAACAAATTGTAAAAATTAAAAACATCATTACATATTTAATCAATCTACGTATTATTTATCGTATTTCAACTGCATCAGTATTGGTAGATATGAAGCAATCATTGGAACAATTTGGTAGTGGTTTCAGATAAAAAAAAGGAATCATATTCGTTGGATAATCTAGCAACTTTTTTTAAAATCAACACCGATGGTATCAATCGTCATAGCTCAAGTGGTGATGTTTTACTTTTATTTGAAATTCTTTCAATTTATAAAGATCCAAACAATTTTTTAAAATTCCTTTTCAATTGTTTGGAAACAAATAAAAAAAAACTTTATGGTTTATATTGTTCATTGGCCACAAAACTTGGTTTATTAGCTGATGATGAAGTTTTAGAAAAGAAAATCAAATCTTTCAAAACCCCAATCCTAAACTCGGTTATTCAAACATTTAAAATAGATATTTTGCCAAACAAAAATGATAACAACAAAAGGATATTGAAAGATGATTTGATAGCATCAATTGTTGTTCACTTGTTAAACAATGAAAAAGATAAAGAGGATAAAATCTTTAAAGAGATGGAGAGACAGAAAAAAAACCAATAATAATTATCATCACCTGCCCCATCTACACAATTTAAACCAGCAACCGTTAAACCATCAGCTAAACCAGCTCCACCTCCAAGCTATATTTAATGTCGCAATGCCAACATCAGATTTTTGTATTGTTGAAAGGGTAAGTCAAAAATTCGTGGTTAGCAATTAAGAATGGCGCAAAGGTTAACACGACTTTTATTAATTTATTTTTAAAAGAATAATTTTTATTTTTTTTGGTAATTTTTGTTATTTAATTTTTATTTGTAATTCATCGATAAAGTACTGTAGCTTTCCAGGTGTATCGGTATTTTCACTCTAAATATATCTGAATTCCATATCTTGCCAAACTTCTCTAGCCTGTTCACTATCTTCATTGTGTGGTGTCGCTGACTAGCTGGATCTTGATATTGAAGTTTCTTATATATTCTATTAATATTTTTGAATTCTCTTTCCCATGCTGCTGCGCAGATTAACTTGAATCTCTTGAGTACTCTTTCATATGTTAAATCGTAGGCAAATGTTCATGATTTTTCTTGTTTCTTCTGTACCATATTTGTTCGAAAATCGTTGCTATTAAATTTGCTAGGAATGGTTTATCCAGTTTGGTAAGTAAAGTAGATCAAATAATACTACACCAAATTCATCACCAGTTATAAATTCATCCACCAATAAATACTCAATACAACTACCACCAATAAAATGCTCAATGCAACAATTTTTTAGTTTAAAGATAATTTTCACGCAACAACAAAATTTTATTTTTTTTTAATTTTTTTTTAATTTTTTTTAACTACAGACACCCCCTTGATTTAAATTAAAAATATTTATTTTTTCCTTTCAATAACCTTTACAAAACCATATTAATAAGTGAAATATTATGGTGCAATCAAAAATGGAATGATTAAATTCCAATAAAATTCACTTAAATTTTAAAATTTTAAAATTTTTTTTCATATGAAAATTTATAGGTTTTTTTTTATTTTTCTATAGCTTCATTGGTAGTATTCTAAAGTTATTTGTGTATCGTTTTCTATAGCTTCATTGGCAGTATTCTAAAGTTATTTGTGTATCGTTTTGTATAATTCCAAGATATGGTTTAGATTATAATCCATTTAATAAATGAAAAAATAAATTGGACCATAATAAAGAAAATTTCCCCAAAATATTTCATTAACCCCACCCTTTCTAAACTTGTCTTGATACGTGATTCTAGTAAAACATTGTAAGCCCAAGAAGACCTTCCATGGTTACTAATAAATTGTTGGAAATTTACTTCATCCATAAATATATGATTTTTCCATAGTTCCACAATAAAATTTAAATGCATAAAAAATCTTTTTCTTTTATTATGTCAATGGAGGTTTCATAACTTTCTTTTTATATATTATGTTATATCTCATTAATATCATTCTTACTGATTTGTTTGATATTGTTCCATCCATTTAGTTCATACCAATATATACTTTATTTTATTTTGGTATTTACTATTTAAAAAATTGAAACATTAAACACGTTCATCACCTTTGTCAAACTTTTTTTCTCCCAGGACGTTGACGGTCATTGATTGTGCCTGTTTATTCTACTCTTTCTAATGTTTTTGCTACTGTTGATTTATGCACTCCCAATTTTTTTGAAATTTGAGTTCGACTTGTGACCTCTGTTTTTATATATTAATATTGAGTATATAACATCATTTTGTTTATTTACTTTATATTATTTAAATTTATTGTAACACTTAATTATTAAATTAATGGTAAATTTCTTTTTTATTTTTTTTAAATTATTTTTTTTATTTATTTTTTTATTTTAACAAAAATTTAAATAAAATAAATCAAAAAAACCAAAAATTATTAGAAGAGATATTTATTTTTTACATAGGTTGGTAAATTTTGTGTAAATCTTTGGATTTTATTTTTTTAAAATTTTTTTATTTTTTTTAATTTTTAATAATTCTTGGTTTTTTTGATTTATTTTATTTAAATTTTTGTTAAAATAAAAATTTTTATTATAACTTTCAAAATTTTTTTCAAATTGAAGACAAATGAATATTGATGTTGATGACTATTTTAAATTAACAGGAGGGAGAGCATTTAATAAAGGACAGGACGAAGAAGAGTGGGTTTTGAACAGCAATGTAATTAGGGGTAACAGTAAAGGTGAACATTATATTGAGCTTCAATATATTGTTTATGCTCACCACCGAGCTGTTTCAAGTTCTGAAAGTGAAGTATCTTTTAAAAATGGTGTGGAATCTCTTTTAAAAATTGGAAAATTATTCAACGAAACCTTTCCAGGAACAATTCCAGAAGAAACAAACAAACAAAAAAGTAATATAGTTGATCATATAATTAAAAATTTATGGCCTGATAAATTAAACGATGAAAATTTTGTTACAAACATAAATTTATTGGCCAAAAAAATAAAATCAAAAAATCATTTTCCTGCTCTCAAATACATGTATACTAATTTAAATCATGGCCAAAAAATGTTGGATCGAATGGTTTTAACGGAGGAAGAATTCAATGAAAAATACCCGGGAAGAGGTATGAATGCCGATATCCCTAAAGATTACGATACCTACATTCAATATATGATTGAAAATTTTGGTGAATGGGTTAATAAATTCGTGGAATATATAAAGAATTACCTCGATATCATTAAAAAAATTGCTGATGCCTATGTTAAAATAAGTATATATATAAAACTAAAACAATCATTGAAAAAGATATCACAGTAACAGAAATGGGAGAGAATTAAAAATAAAACCTGGGGAATATTTTAGCATAGTTATTTCATTTTCATTCAAAAAAATATCGAAAATAATAAATATAAAAACACTTAGGGTTTTATTTAAAAACAAATTCTTTTATTTACTCCTATAGGAGAAACTTTTATAATTTATATTATTTTACTTTTTTTTTTTTTTATTTTTTTATTTTTTTTTTTTTTTTTAATATTGCTTTTTTATTTTTTTTATTTGCAGTTTATTTTCTTTTTTTATAATTTATTTACTTCTGATATCTTTATTTTTTTATTTGCATTTGCACATTTTCCAATTTTTCAGAAAAAATTTTATCTGAATGCCTTTCCGTTTATTTAGTTTTTAAAAAAATAATTATTTAAATTCAGGGGGTGTTTCGACAACAAATATCATTGGATTTCACAATTAGAAAAAACTGATATATTGGAATGGTTGAAAAAAAAAAAAAATATTGTTATTTTACTAACTATTGTCTTTTTCATAACTACCTATAGATTGGTTTTTAGGTTTAACTATATAGGATCCCAAGTCAACATCCGATACTTTAATAGAATTTATTAAAAGACTAAGATAATAAAAAATAAAATAAAATAAAATAAAATAAAATAAAATAAAATAAAATAAATATGTATTTTAATTATGTTAAAAATTAAAGATTTTAAATTTTCTATTAAAGATTAAAAGAAAAAGGATGTTTTTAAAATTACAAACATAAAGTTTAAATAAAATATGATCGAAAAAATTAATAGCAGAACAACATTTAAATAACAATTTATAAAATATTTCATTAAACCTTTGTGTATGTTCTTGCTCTTTGATCAGTTTGTTGTGGATTGATAACCATTTTTTTTTGAATCTTTTAAATTATGGCAAAAATTGCACGTTATCATCTGAATTAATACATAGTATTTGATATTTTTTAATTATTAATAGTATTTGATATATTTTGAATGATACACAATAATTGATATATTTTAATGGTCCAACAAAATACTTACCTTATAATCTTTTACAATAAATCTTGGTATTATTGAATGATCCAATTGTATATTCTTGAATGTGTATAATGGTATCAAAATAAATAAAAAAAAATTATAGTTGAATTTAATAATTAAATAGCTGAAATCCTTAATACTTTTAATGCTAAATAATCCTTGAAATGTTTTGATAGTATATATATTAATCCTTGATATAATTTAATGCTAAATAATCATATTAATGATAAATAATCCTTGATATGTTTTAATGCTAAATAATCCTTGATATATTTTAATGATATATAATTGTTGATATTTGTATATGCTAAATAATCCTTGATATTTTTAATTATCCATATTTGATATATTTTGAATGTTACAATAATTATGAAAAGAGTGAAAAAATAAAACAAATGAAAAGAGTGAGTAAAAAAAAAAAACAAATAAATCTAATGAAAAGAGTGAGAAAAAAATACATATACAAATATATTGAAAAGAGTGACTTGATTTGTTTAAATGCTAAATAATGCTTGATATATTTGAATGATACACAATATTTGGTGTTTTTATATGCTCAATAATACTTGATAATTTTAATTATCCATAATATTTGATATATTTTAGTTACACAATAAATGATATTTAAATGATCCAATAAAATATTAGAGCCGAATGGTTAATTATGTATCCCACCACGCAGAATACATAATTAACCACCATATTGACAATTTAATGAAATGAGTGAAAAAAAAACAAATAAATGTAATGGGTGAATAAGAAAACAAACAAATAAATGCAATGGAAATTTGACTTGAAAAAGCTATAATTTTTTTAATGCACTTGTTTCTTGTTGATGCTGCTAAATAGTCGTTGATATATTTGGATGTTACACAATAGTAGATATTTTTATTTTTATTTTTATCTATATTTATATTCTATTCTTTCAAATTTGATTTCTATACTTGATATTTTTGTGTGATCCATATTACTTGATATTTTTTAAATGCTACATAATATTTGATATTTTTTATGATCCAAAATACCTTTTAATTAATTATCCATAATACTTACCAATAATCATAACAATCAATAAAAAAACAAAAGATAATTGATTGAAAACTTAATTGAATGATAAATAATACTTGATATTTTTTAATGATAAATAATACCTGATATTATTAATGATAAATAAATATTTGATATTTAAAATTCTAAATAATACTCGATATTTTTGTATCATTCATATAACTTGGTAATTTAAATGCAAAATAATACTTGATATTTTTGTGTGATCCATTTTATTTGATATTTTTTAAAAGCTAAAAAATATCTGATTTTTTGTATGACCCATATTATTTGATATTTTTTAATACTTATATACTTGATATTTTGCATGATCCATAATACATTACTTGATATATTTAATGATCCATAATACTTATCTTATAATCAAATCATCCAATTAAAAACAAATAGTTGATCGAAAACTTGAGTGAATATTACACAATATTTGATATTTTTAAATAATAAATCATTCATGATATTTTTCAATGCTAATAAAACTTAATATGTTTAAAAGATAAATAATTCTTGATATTTTTAAATTCTAAATAAGACTTGATATGTTATATGATAAATAATACTTGATATTTTAAATGCTAAATATTACTTGATATATTTTAAATGGTAAATAATACTTGATATTTTTGTATGATCCATAATACATGATATTTTTATGCTAAATAATAGTTTTGATATTTGTATGATCTATAATACTTGTTATTTTTTAATGATTTTCCAAAATATTTAATTTTTTTTTTTAATATCACACACGATAGTTTTAATGCTAAAAAATCCTCGATATGTTTTGATAATATTTTTAATTATTTTTTATTTTTTATACTATTGGCCTCTTTGTAAAGAGTGTTTCCAGCTCTACCACGGGGAGGTTAGTATTAGAGCTGAATGGTTAATTATGTATCCACCACGCAGAATACATAATTAACCACCATATTGATAATAGAGTGAAGTGAAGTGTGAAGTGTGTTGTGTGAATTTTTTTTGTATATTTGTGGTTAATTATGTATCCCACCACGAAGAATACATAATTTACCATATTGATAATAAAGTGAAGTGAAGTTTTACTTATTTTGGAAAAATGTAGATCTGCTACAATCAAAATTGGTAATCATTTGAAACAGGGGAGGTTTTTTTTTTTCAAAATTTTTTATTTTTCAAATAAATTAAACACATCTTATTTTAAAGAAATCATTTTTCCATTTATATTATTTTATTATAATTCATTTTATAATGTTTTGTAGAAAAGGAATAAAGTAAGAATTAGGTAGTTCATTATATGATAATGAAATTGATAGCTGAATGAAAAAATATTAAAAAAAAAAAAAAAAAATTAATTACAATTTTAATTTTTTTTAAATTTAATTTTTTAAAAATTTTTTTATTTTTTTTTGATTGCAGCGCTTTTTTTTATTTTTTTTTTTAAATTTCGAATTTTATTAATTATAATATTTTTATTTTCCTTTTCAAAAACCTTCACAAAACCATATTGATAAATCTAATACTATGGTGCTATTTTTCACTTGTGTTGATGCTTATATTAGCACCTCTTTATTTCGTAAATCACAATTAATCTAAAAATATAATATAATATTATTTTAATTGATATATGCTGAAATATGACAGTAAGGTGAACATTATATTTAGCTTCGATATGTGTTTATTCTCACCACCGAGGGGTTACAAATTCCCAAACTGAAGTATCTTTTAAAAACAAATAAATAAATAAAATAATTAAAAACATTAAAATAATGTCCACACGATAAATATCACATTTATTACTGTAAAAAAAATTTTCAAATTTCCATTTTTAAAGATTTATGCCAAGATCTTCAACGTTAAATTATTTTAAAGATGCAAAACCAGGAAAATAATCATCGGCCTATTCATATATTTTGAAATGGAGCCAGATAAAGACAATGATCCAGACTTCTTGAATGATGTCGAGAGTAGTTGTAATATTAAAATAGATGGCAACAACAAACTAATTCATAAAATCCTATAGAATCAGAAGATTCAGAAGAATCAGAAGAATCAGAAGAGGAAGGATCAGAAGAAGAATCAGAAGATTAGTGACAGTGAAAAAAAAATTTAAATAAAAAATGTGATATATAAAAATTTTATGTTTGGATTTATTTGGTATTCCTTTTTTTATTTTGGTGTCTCATAGTTTTCACATAATTTTATTTATTTTTTTTATTTTATAGTTTAGATATCTTATTTTCAATATAAAAGTTCTAAATATTACAAAATATGGATTTGTACTGATGATATTCATTTTAGTTTTGAAAATATATGAAATAAGAATACAGCTGATATTATTAAAATAGTTAATATTGATATAAAAAACAAATATTTAAATTATTATTAATTTGGATTTACAAAAAATTAATAATATTTGGAAAAATAAATAAAATTTAAATTTGTAAAATTATAAAATTACTAAATTAAAAACAAATAAATTTAAAAATCGTATTTTAAAATACGATTATTTTATATTTGATTTAATTATATTAATATAACTTCAAGATTATTATAATAAATTGAAATTTTTAATTATAAAATGTAACCATGATTTATCATCATAATTCTTTTTTTTATAATCATACCAAAATTATTCTATATTTTAAAATAATATTAATTAATTTAATAATAAAAATAATAATATTTTGGGGTTTAGATTTTGTTTTTTTTTTTTTGCTAAAAAAGTCTATTTTCAGTATAATTATAACCAAAGATATGAGAATTGTTTATTGAAAACAAAAAATGCATATACTACAGTGTGTTGGTGTTTCTATAAATATCAAAAAAAATGTTTAACAAAAACAACAACAAAAAGAAACAACAAAAGAATCTCTATTTTTAAAGTCTATTTTTAATTTTCGTATTTAACAATTCAATTGATACTATTTATTATTTATT